GATTTCCTGAGCAAGCCAAAGGCCGCTTGGCCACAGCCACCCAGTGATCTGAGCTTGGTCATTGGAGACAACGACCCCGAAGTCAAGCGACAATCCGCCACGTACATCCCTTTGCAAAGTTAGTCAAGCATTTCTCTTGCGATCGGGTTTTCAAAGTTCATCACGCCTATTTCTGTGTCCAAAATGGTCAACGCTGAGAAGGAAATAATTCGACATGTACAGCAAGAATGTTTTAGCGAAGAACGAGAATGCCTAGAAAGAATAAACGAAAGTAGCGATAAAGATCGCAAGAACGTAACGGTTAAAAAATTGAGCTGCGTGTTCCAGCTGGATCCAGTATTAAGGGATGGGTTGATACGTGTCGGCGGAAGACTGCGGAGAGCACCAATAAATGACAACGCTAAACACCCTATCATCCTCCCGAAGACCACCATGTTATTGGACTCCTTGTATACCATTACCACCACATCTCGGGTCATTCCGGCGTCGAGCACACGCTTTCCCTCATCAGAGAAGGTATTGGATCGTAGACGGAAGATCAGCCGTGAAGAAGGTCATCGGCAAGTGCTTCAGCTGTAAGAAACGTCAGTCAACAGTATGCAATCAAAAGATGGCCGACCTGCCAGAAGACCGGGTAACGCCCTCGCTGCCACCGTTTACGTATACAGGCGTCGACTGCTTCGGACCGTTCGAGGTAAAACGTGCGAGAAGTCGTGTCAAGCGGTACGGCGTGCTCTTCACTTGTATGACAACACGAGCGATCCATCTAGAAGTGGCCCACACGTTGGACACCGACTCTTTCATCGACGCTCTCCGACGATTCGTGGCAAGACGAGGTCAACCTATGGAGATCCGCTCGGACAACGGAGGAAACTTCGTCAAGGGTGAACAAGTGCTAAGAGAAGCCATTGACGAATGGAATCAAGAACAGATTCACGACTTCCTGCTTCAATGAAATGTCAAGTGGACCTTCAATCCACGCGCTGGATCTCACTTTGGCGGAGTGTGGGAGAGGTGCATAAGAACCGTAAGGAAGGTCATGAAGGCACTGATGACGAAACAGGTGCTGCATGACGAAAGCCTCAAAACGTTGTTCTGCGAGGTAGAGTCCGTGGTGAACAGCAGACCAATCACTAAGCTGTCAGATGATCTACGGGACGAAGAACCACTCACCTCAAACCACCTGCTTCTATAACGTGGCAGTCAACGACATCGTAATGGTGCTAGACGACAGCAAACCAAGAGGAGTATGGCCCTTAGCTCGGATGTTGGAAGTGTACCGCAACGAGCGTGACGGACTGGTACGATCCGTGAAACTGAAGACAAGCAGCAACGAGTTGGTAAGGCCTGTAAACAAGATCGTCCTCCTAGAAGAAGCTGCCTGATGTTGGTATGAGATCATGATAAACATTGTCATTAGAACTAACGCTTTATTCATTTACTTATTTAGTTATTGACATTATTTCGTGTTTCAAACCATTTAAAAAAGGTATTGTAAAGGCTCGTAGTACCGCCTTTAAAGGGCCGGTATGTTGGTTTGTAACCTTAACTTTGTTATTGTTATCGTATGTCGTTAATTTCCGTTTCGTTACTTCCTGCGACTACACGCGCAGTTGCACCCAGTTTAATGTTTCATTTTGTATATCACTGTCAACTAGAGTAAGGTCACTCTATTCTACAATTGGTTACTTACGTTTATGTTTGAACTCTATCGACGGTATTCAACAGCAGTTTGGTGTGTGCGCCAACTAAAGTAAGGGGCTGTTTACATGAGCCCGGTTACCCGAGATTCAACGAAGCGTGAGAGGCCTTTGAGGTATTGAAATAAGTCTTTATGACACCAAACAAGTACATGCTATTGTTGTGGTGATTATACGACTGCCAGAATCATGTTATCTGCTTATTTCAATACCTCAAAATCATCTCACGCTTCGTTGAATTTTGGGTAACTGGGCTCATGTAAACAGCCTCTAAAGCCTGGTTTCCATATGACGCCGACCTGTCGCCGACTCATTGTCTGTAATCATCCAAGGAGAAAATGATTTCAGAAAGACAAACGATTTCACTCATCAGTAATCACCGACAATAATACTTTGCCGACGTCGGCGTCATATGGAAACCAGGCTTAAGACTCTTCTTTGTGTTATTATAGTTTGTAAACATAGCTACGCTAGTTGATTTATTCTATATTTAGTGCATGCCTGCTATAGTATTTAATTTGTCTAGATTGCATGAATTAGTGCGGTTTAATTATTGCATTTTTAGTTCGAACGTTACCCAGTATATTTCTATTCCGCGATCACTCTATCCAATATTCCGTTACCGGATCGATCAGCCGACACCGCAGAAATTGGTGTTTAAGACGTTTCAACCCGAAAATCTAATCGCTGGTTCACAATTGTGCATTTCTGTATCGCCCTATCAAAGAGAAACCTTTTGAATATCTTAAAAAAAGTTCAATTTTTCTTCTGAATACGCATTCCGCAATCTTTTGACAGCTCATCATGCACATCTGACCGCTGTGAAATGGCCATTTTGAGGCTTAAAGTATACACAAGGTTATTAATTCAGACGATTCGTTTTTACCCTGAGCAAGCTTCAAATCTTTTGTGCAAGACATATTTTCTTGAATATTTATAAATCTTTTTCCTCACCAAGTTTGAAGTCTAAGTATCGAGAATTGCGGCTAAGCCTATACCAATTTCCGCGGTGTCCGATCAGCCACCATACCTTCAACCGCACAGTATTATAAGCTTTATCATTAAAGATACATTTTATAACCATTATCCGCGCACGTGTTACTCTATCATCGTGGTTAGTGAATTTAGTGGAGTTCAATTGTGCCGTTAACGGCACACCAAAGTAGCGTAGCTCTTAGAAGAATTTGGGAGTTACAAAGTATACATTAACGTGGTTTGATAGGAAACGTTTGACAAAATTCGATTATAAGTTGCTATATATATATCTATCTCAGCCGGACAACGAATAGAAATCGTCGGCGCTTTCACAAGTTTATATATCGCCAGGTTTGTTAAAATTTCTGCGTGTTTTTGCGAAAGATCGATAGACTATAATGATTATTTTGACCAATTCCAAAATTACATTTCTCACGTTTGGAACGCTAAGAATCTCTCCAAGAGAGAATGTATAAGAGGTACCACAATGCAACGCGCAAAGTAAAATCGTGATTTTCCCTCCTGGGGCCAGTTGTATAAAATTAGCCAATCAGTCTGAATCAGAGTCATGTATTTCTGAGTTATTTTGGATTTAAGTATGCAAAGTGTAATTTAGATATAGTTTTATACAACCGACCCCTGATGTATAGATTAGGAGTGCTCAGTTCTGCCTAGCTTGCTCACTCGCTGCACCAGCAAATAGAAAGCATCGTTTCAAGGATACTTTAAAAAGCATAAAAAATCAAGATATGGAGCTTCATGGACTTAATCAATCGTGTAAGTTACGTATGCATCACTATGCACGCAGCTACATTTCTCGAAGCCTAATTTATGCATAGTGAAGCATACGTAACTTACACGCGTTCGAATCCTGGTGCTTTGCAAAAAAGTGTCGAGGTTTGATTGTGTTTCTGCATGCTGCAGAGCGGTTAAAGATTACGAGCGCCTGTATAGTATCCAACATTTAATTCGTCTGAATTTTATCAGATGAGGCGTTTTACAAAAACAAAATACTTGTGATATTATTCAAGCGCATTTACTCTTAGGAAAGAGGCTAAGTAAAGGTTTAACTGCACGCACATCTCCAAAATACACTTGGTATTTAAAAGCCGGTAAAGCTAAGCTCGTACACTCGCTACTCGCGAGTCGCGCCATATATTTCTCACGGTCCGCACTGTAAGGATTAATTTGACACTTCTCATGTATTGGTAGGTTAACTTTCGTTCAGAACAAGATAAATGCAGGTTTGGCAAAAATGTAGTTAATTATATCACACTGACCAGCTTCGTGATTGCGAAACTGAGAGAAGTCACGTACCTGAGCCAGAAGAGCAAATCCTCATCGCTTTAAGATATTTTGCTTCTGGTAGTTTGTGACAAGTCATTGGTAAAACCTTTGCTGTTGACAAGTCAACAGTATCTGGAGTTGTTAGGGATATAAGTTTGCCATGAAACAGGAGACATTATTAAAAAGTTACAGCCGTACCCGGCTCATAGACATCGTTGACGGAGCAATCTAAATAGGGTTGAAGAAAGATTACCGACCAACTAGGCAACATAAATCTTCATAACCTAAATTTTTATATAACATGTACAGTGCCATGTCCTCTAGCAAAGATTTCCATTCATTGTATCAACTGTATAGATCTCGCCGGAAGCGAAATGAATTGTTTTCTATTTCCGCAAATTTTTCATTAACTATCGTTGTATTTGGAATGCGACAAAGAAAACAACTTAAAATTGTCGATCTTGTATAATTGCTCTAACATAGTTCGTTTCCTTTACAAGAAATCGGACTAATTGCTAACGCAGCTAAATGTGTGTAATTGCGAATGATTGTGTTCAAATAAATCTTCCTTCATGTATAAGAAGTACCTTAAAAAATAGTTTAATGGTATATATTAGTTAATTTTTCTGTTGATAAATGGTCGTAAATAAATAGTCAAAAATGACCAAAACTATAATTTGAATCAATTTTAATAAATTTTGGAATCAAAAGCAATAGCGCTATAGTGTTTCATATTGCTTTCTTTCCGTACGACAGACCAGGCTTGTCATAACAAACGATGACCAATTGCAACGTCGATTTGGCGTTCTTCTGCCGCAGGTTCAGGGATTATTTATTAAAAACAATCTGCATCACTGAGGGGGAGGGAGGACTTATTGATTTTTTGAAAGGAGGAATCTAACTGCCACTGTGATCGCGAGTATAATAGTGCTGGTGGAATTGCAGCTGTCATTAGTCAACCGTCAATTATTCATTTGTTTAGATCTAATTATCTGGCAAAATAAACAGAAATTATTGAAATGCCTTTCCTTTCAACCAAAATGTTGTTTGCTTTAACGATCTTGATTCACTTTGGTGGAAATCTGATCAATTGCAATGAAGATATTCCCATTTGTGACGAGCAATTAAAACAACTGAAAGAAGACGTGAAAGACTGGGAAAAGAGATGTGTGAATGAAAGTCTGGAAAACTTGGATGAAATGGAACGATATTTTACTGAAAGTCAACGATCTGACAATGAAACTCAACGATATTTCAATGAACGTCGACGTGAGAATAATTCCTCTGGTTGCACAGCAGAAAAAGAATATCTCCAGGAGAGAATGCGTATGCACTCAGAGATGTGCTTCTATGACGGTAAGCTAAACCATTCTTTAATTTTTGCAGTGTAAGTGTAAATCTCTTTTTCGTATTAAATTATTATAAAAAAACGGTTGCCGTCAGTAAATCATTCTTTACCTACCAAACTATACATGCAGTCGTGTTTAAAATTAGAACATTTTATAACTTGTTCGACTTGTAGTCACACCCACCAAATTTTTCATTTTCGGTAACCATTTTGCTTTATCTCATGACTTATTTCACCCAAGCTGCATGTGTAGAAGCAAAAGCTTTGTGTAAAAGCAAAGCTTGTAGTTAATTACTCCGTAGTTGTCTGAACGCTTTACGGGATTCGCTGACCAGAGATGGTATATGATGTGTACTTTCATGCAATTGTCCTTTGGAACTGGCGTCAAAGAGCGTAAATCCACAAAATTTCTTCCTGCTCAATATTTGCTGTTCATGATCTGGTCAGGAAGTGAGGACATAAATCTCAGCGAAAATAGTATCAGGGGGACTCAAGGGAGTACAAAAACATTGGGGACGATTTCCCGTACATACCTATGAGTGATGGAAATTCACCTTTGCGCATTTTGCTTGATCTATCCAAAACGTATAAAAAATTGCTGAATTTGAAAGATTATTACGATAAATGGGTCTTTGTTAATATGCGGCCGGAAGTATATGTGAATCAGTCACTGGTAAGTGTTGAAATTTTGCGACTTTGTCGAGGTGTTTTTGCGAGCTTTTTCGGCCTGGATATACACAAACACCATCTATTAAGGTGGTCCACTGCAAATTGTGATTGTGGTACTTGTATAGAATCATTACTATGCAATATTGTGTTGTGCTTATGACACATTTAGAATCTAAACGTTATGAACAAGAAACATTGCCAAATAGACTTAATTACTCAATGTTGAATTGAAATAGAGCATACAATTTTAATTTTAAAAATGATCATGTGAACTTTCCCAACCTGTAAAATGCTAAAAGAATAAATATGGGAGCTTTTCAATGTAACAAATATAATGAAAGATTGATAATGGAACTAAAGATGAAGTTTTGTGGTTTTTTAAGAATATTTCTATGCAGTGTGCTTGTATGTAAAGATTAGAAGGAGTAATGAAAAGTCATTGTTATGAAAAATTTACAAAGAGAGTTGTAATATAATTTGGAATAATTTTAATATATATAAAAATAACATGAAAAAGGGTATTAAATGTTTTCATAGTGGTCCTTATGGTAAAATTGAATTCAGTAACACACAGATGGTATATTTGCTGCAAATTGTGTACTGCAATATAAGGCATGGACAAGACATTATAGTTATCAAGGTTCCTTAATAACTTCAGGGTCAAGGATGTATTTAGAGCTGATGAACAGAAATATTTTTGCAACTCAAGCATTGCTTTATTTCCAACTTGAAGTTGAAACTACAATGTCAGCAGGGTATTGCACAGAAGATATTATTAATTTGGAACATTTGGTAACAATAAACATCATTACCATTGAAGTAACAATAAACAATACTATCATGATTCTGCCTTTAATAGAATGAAAACAAAAAATAATCACCAGACAGTTTCAAATCCCTTTTTTTGATTGGGGAGAATGTTATCCTTTTTATTACATGTAAATGAATATCAAATATTAAAAGACTTTAGTGACATTGTGAGACAACTATTTAAATTCAACAGAAATAGCTGTTTTAAAATTATGTGTTTGCTTGATATCTATCAGTATCAACAGATATTCAACAGAAATAGCTGTTTTAAAATTATGTGTTGGCTTGATATCTATCAGTATCAACAGGTATTCAACAGAATAGCTGTTTTAAAATTATGTGTTGGCTATGATCTCGACATGTCTCGGGTCCACAAAACATTATGTTTCCTTCGTTCGCAGTAAATAAGTGTTAATTATTTTATTGGTATTAAGTGCATATGGTTAAAAATGTACAGCCATGCTTTTTACCTTAGAATTTAAACTAAGTTTGCCTCAACTATATTTGATTAAAATCAAGCATTAGGCTATATAACTACAGGCTAATAATAATTAATGCCTAATGGTATTATTACTGTACGCATTGTTTAGTCAGAACCAGAGTCTGTCTAAACAATCGCAAGCACACAGGATTGTAACCTTAAACTTATTTGGCTGTATATCCTCTTGAGTATATTAAAAAAGGTTTCCCAAAAAATATAATAACTTCAATGTTGCAGTAAATTCACCGTAACCAGCTATGAACTGACATATGACACCACGCGAAGGATATTTTAACAGTGTTGCCGTTGGTCAACCGCACGAGCTATCAAGTTACATATTATCTCTCCCATATCATACTAAAAATCATAGATCTTCGTATTTTGGTTAAAATTTTCCCATCTTAGTGCTTTAAATATCGACACAAAAATCAAGTTAATAGATGGTGTTTGTGTAAATCCAGGGGTGCAAACAGCTCGCAAAAAACCTCAACAAAGAGGCAAATTTTACACTTACCGGTCTCTGATTCACAAATACTTCCAGCCACATATCAACCAAAACCCATTTATCCTTAATAATCTTTGAAATTGAGCAATTTTTTAATTGTTTTGGATAAATCGAGCAAAATGTGCAAATGTAAATTTTCCTCACTCATTATAGATTTGTATGGAAAACACGCTGGCCGCGCGCTCGCCCCAATGTTTTTGACAAATAAATTTGGATCGAATTTTAAAATTTATCCAGCGAACAATCACAGAAAGCAGCACATTTCTGCATTAGTTTTTTCCGTTTATAACCATGCAAACCTGTACATTAATACGCAGTATTTCACTTCAGCTGTAATCTTTTTGCAGGACCTTATCCTGAGCAATATATGTTTTTGGCGAAGGACACTGCAATCTTGGCTGTCGATTTAACGACGCTGGATGCGACAGTCGTCGTAGGTGGAAAAAGAAATATATGGACGCTGGACATTGACATGAAAAATAAGAAAATATATTTTGCGGAATTGGATAAAGAGATTCGTCGGGCAAATTATGATGGAACTTCTGAAGAAATCGTTGTGAAGGATGCTAAGACACGGAGATTAACAATTGATTGGATAGGACGTCGTATATTCTGGAGTGATTGGAGGAAGAATATCATTAACGTGGCGACTTTAGATGGTAAAGACAGCAGAACGCTGATTAAAACTCTCGAGCCTTTGGATATAGCAATTGACCCCATCGAAGGGTGAGTGTTTCATAAATTGAGAAGTAATCGCAACAAGAGCTAATTATTGAGTTCAATTTAAGAAAAATATTATCAGCATAAATTCAGATTTGTAAGAAAGATTTTTGCGACGTAAGTAACTATATTTTTCGGATTTTGTTTTTTTCGATTTGTTTTGATTTTTGAAAATGAATTCGTTCTTCTTGATTATTGTTCAGTTTTCATGACTTGTCAGATGCTTTTTCGCATTGCCGAATCTGCCTTAACGGGTAAAATAAATCCTTCATATCTGTTCTTCAGTGCATGCTATGTAGAATGATAATTTTAATTTACAGTTTGATTCAGCTCATAACTCTACCTATTGAAGTGCTGTAAAAACACTGTAAAACAGATGGGTCTAAATAACCCATTTCCAGTTGTTGTTCTAACTCATACTTTTAAGTTAAAATAACCAAACAAAAAGAGTTGTTATTAATTGGATGCATCTAGGACAAATTAATAATTTAAACCCGAAATAATTAGTTGAAATGACCTTTCAGATTTCAACCACAAAAAATCTCACAATACTATTCAAATATAAATATACCGGATGTAATATACACCAATTTATACCATCCAAGAAAATATTCTCAATTAAATTGTTAAATTGTTAAAATATTCTGCAACTAGAAACTCATTGTGTTCAATATTCACTGTGTTAGGTCCACATTCTTACTTTATTTTCTTCATTAAATTTATAATATGCAGACAGTTAACAAGTCACTGTATTATTCAAAATGTTCCTACTTATAACTTAGCAATAAATACTCCTTCCGTCATGCATCAGCATCATTGAATTAATGTCAACCAATGTATCAATAATCAGAATTTTTGTTGATGCACATTTTTCGATCTTTTTTGTAAAATATCCTGCTACATCTGTGGGAAAAATTGTAGAGGCTTTAAGCACTATAATTAATTACAACTTCTTCAGTAACACACACTCATGCATAGATTATTTGAATTCTGATTTTAGCATTTGGAAAAATTATCTCGTGGAAAAGAACTATTTTGACTTTACATAATGTTAATTATGGCATGAACAAAAAATCACACAAAATGCATGTACTTACATTTAAATTTCCCAAACCAAAGGTCCCCAATTTGACTTCAAGTTGTTTTCCTTTTATGATGATCAATTTCATATGTATGATGACCATCTGTTCACATCATCTATAAAATATATAACAGTAATGATAATGATTTGTTAAAAGTATTTCCACATATATGACTTTTTGCCTTCTAAAACTAACTATTTACAATATAATAAATAAGTATCTAATTAAGAAGTTAATTGAGCAATTAAGAAGTACAATATATAAAAGATTCCCTTATTCAAGGCAAGCTTTAGCTTTTGCAAGCCAGGCAGTTTTAACTGTGTTAACAAACATTGAGAAATGTTCAATTTTTTTAATGTCAATAAGAAGCCAATAAAAGTCTTTGCAGCTATATCTTAATAAAAGGTGCCAGGTTCCTTAACTGGAATATAAATTGTAGGTGCAGCAGCATATCTTAAATTGTAAGTATTAACAACATAAAGTTGCAATTTAAAATGCTCAGATATGGTCACATTATACAATGAATTATGAACAAGCTTGAGAAGATTTAACTCTCTTCTTTCATACACAGGCAACCATCTTAATTTAAGAATTTTTTTGTATTTACATATTTACCAAGTACCAAAGCTGCGCATGCATTGTCATGCAAACATTGTAGACATTTTACCTGGTAATCAGGCAAGAGGGTGGGAATTATAACTTAACGTCAGTCAATTAATTAGTCATTATTTCAACATACCTATAACAATTTTCTACAAGATTACTGGACATAAAACAGGAATATAGCAATAATTGATTAATATTTTCTCATTAGTAGAGGTTATTGATGTGTCTGCAAACATATTTGAAATGTATCGCCATTGGCAGAATATACTAGAAAGATAACACACCTTAATTGTCCATCCTCAGTGATTTACTTTTTCATATCATTTACAATCAAATGTCAGTTGTCAGGGATTCTTGAGTCTTGATAGCTAGCTCTGCTTTTAACAGCTAAAAACAGTAAATAATGTTGTAATATATTTCTCATTGGTAACAAATAATTCTTGACAACTCAATGGTGGGCCCAACAAGGTTCTGGGTACAGAATTTAAACATATGCATGGTATGCATTAGAATTTAAACATATGCCTATGGTTGAATTGAAGTGCAGTAACATTTCAACAATCACCTAAGTGCCAAGGATTATACTCTTGTCAGATCATATGAGCCGTTGTAGGATTTAAATCATTTGATCGGAAGCGATAGAGGACAACAGACCAATGAGAGCAAGCCACTGGCCTGAATATTGATGCGCTAAATTAAAAAAAAATCAGTCTGCTAGAAATTATTTAACTTCAACCGTAATTTTTACCTGCATTTGTTTTATAGTATGTATCTTCATAGTACAGGCAGAAACAAGCTTATGGTCTAATTAAACAGAGGAAAGTAATCTTCCTAGAACATATCAATATAGAAAATCATTAATAGTATATGTGTAGCGTCGACATACTTTCGAATTTATCAAATTGTCCAGATTTTTTTTACTTTAAGGCGATGAAGTAAAATAACGATTCTTTAGCAATATGTGTATTTTATGAGATAATAAATTGAATTATTGAAAATTAAACGAGATTTACCTTGTTACCTTAAGTTGAAGTTTGATGATAATTCTACCAAACCGTGGTTGCATCCTCCCGTTTTATTTAAATATGTGACGCCTGTTGTATTATCTGATTGAATTCGGATATGCGTTTCACAGGTGCTATCAAGAAGTGATGTTAACACAAACTTTATCGCCAGAAGTTCTAAAACGTTAATATGAATTTCATTTCGTGTGCGGACCACAGCCATTGTGTCCTAGTTTCGTTAACAACGGCTCCCCAACCTATATGTGAGGCATCAGTTGTCATACTCAAATGAGCCGGGATACCATGATCAATAATCCTAGATGCAGTTGGTAGGGAAGATACCCAGCACTTAATTTCATCAATACTGGCCTGTGATAGACACCATAATTTTTGTTTAAAATCCCCGTGTGAGTGTCCTAATGCTAGGGTCTTATCACGCTCTAGTGCTCTATAGTATAACGGTACAAATTCAACTCCAGGGAATGTAGAGACAACAGTTCCAATAATAGAAGCTAACTGTCGAATGGTAACTTCGTGAAACTTTGATAATTGTACACAAAGAGCGGTAATTTTATAATTTTCTTGGTCGTGAGCAAAACAGTCATGGTAGTGGAGTATAATAAAAATCCCCAAAACACCAAAGTTTGCGTTGGTTGAAATACCGACTTAGAATGATTTGGTACAAACCCTAGTTGGTCAAATAACTGAGCTGCATTAAAAGTAACATCTTTGCACAACCGAAGAGAATCTTCAATGTAAATGGAGTCATGAATGTAACCGAGACAAGAGTGACCAAATTTTGATCACAGTGTGTTCAATAGTCGCATCGCTGAAGCAGTAGATTGATAAAGTTTCCTCTCCAAGATAATTTAAGGTATTTTCTATCGGACCGTATTATGGGCACAGAATAGTAAGCGTGGCGTAAATCAATGGTATGCATGAAAACACGGAGTCTAAGTTACGGAGTCCCGGAGTACGGAGTCCCGGAGTGAAGTGTCCAAAACTTTAAAACACGGAGTGGTAAAAACACGGAGTCGACGTAAAAACACGGAGTCCACGTAAAAACACGGAGTCCACGTAAAAACACGGAGTCCACGTAAAAACACGGTTTTTACTCAATATTTTTATTTTATATGTGGTTGCAGGTATTCAGATCCTGTGGAGATGGCTATCCCCTCATTGCAGGGGTGTTGGAGGGTGCCTTTGGAAGATGAGATGATTGGCAATGTGGCAATGATGATGATCATTTTCCCCGGCACGCTCCCAAGCCGCGCTTTATAATTTCACTAACGGGAATACACGTGGGATTGAATACCACCCTTTCTCACAAAATCACCACACATTGGGGATGTTTTATGGAACCAATCAATTCAGAGAACAGGAACCAATCGATTCAGGGATTAGCCCCCAATAGCAAACCAACAGCCCACTACATACGGATAAACAGAATGCTCATACATATTTGGACTTCATCATCATCGCCGATCTCACCACGAATTCACGTCACACAATTTCCGCTCATTACCACAAATCACATATGCGAGCACGTCGTTCCAAGACCTGCTAGCGGGTTAGAAACGTGCTTTCCCTAGTTATGCTTGGAGTCTGATGAAACGTAACTACAGTTTTCAACGAAAAACAAACGAAAGGGACTTGACCAGAATGGCAATAACCGGCATTCATTCCGGCCAAGGCATCTCATGCGTTTCCATATTGCACCCGGGTTTTTCCAAACAACAAACACATATTCGTAGCATTTCAACCATTTTCAAACCGTGTTTTTACGTGGACTCCGTGTTTTTACGTGGACTCCGTGTTTTTACGTGGACTCCGTGTTTTTACGTCGACTCCGTGTTTTTACGTCGACTCCGTGTTTTTACGTCGACTCCGTGTTTTTACGTCGACTCCGTGTTTTTACCACTCCGTGTTTTAAAGTTTTGGACACTTCACTCCGGGACTCCGTACTCCGGGACTCCGTACTCCGGAACTCCGACTTCGTGTTTTCATGCATACCTAAATCAATAGCGGTCAACAAGGGCAGATTTCGTTCTAAGCCAATCAGCGCGTTTGTTGACATTTTTGCTCTCCGCCAATCAGAATGCTTGAAAATAAAAATTGTAAACAAAAGGAGCGAGAAAATATTGCCGTATTCTAACGCATCCGTGAGCCAGAATATTTACTTTTTATATTCGAAACCGAAAGAATGCAATAAAACATAAATATATCTTGAATTTTGCCGTGGGGTTTTTTAAATTTCAAAACATAACGTGAAATATCGACGTTTGAATTACTGCAATGATGGCGCGCTATGGCTGCAATATATCGTTAAACCCGATAAATTATTTGGGGAATAATGTCGGTTTCTTCTCAGGATTCTCCTTTCCGTCTCATGTTTTCATTTCAGTTCTGGATAATGCTACTTGGAATGAGTTGGATCTTTGGGACAATGAAAACACCATGATATAAATAATAACCATTGTTCGGAGCTTGCTAAGATGTTTTTTTACGCTCAGTGGACATTCTGTCAGAACATATGGCATTGTTTATGCTATAGTAGAGATTCACAGCACCAGCATCCCTGCATGTCACCTCAAAGGCATTGGGATCCATTTTTGGTTGGGAAAAATTGTCAATGTGATTTTTTTAAGATCATCACTGAAATTGGGGCAAAATGATGCTTTCTTGAGCAGTGAAGAATAATCATCTGCAGAGAGAAATACACTGTCAACTCTTTAGCACTCTTTGTCTGCAACATCCAATATCTTTTCTGTATAATTGCTGCATGGGTGAACTTTAAAGTTATTGTTGTTGTGTCACTTGTTTGGCGCTGTATGATGCTTCTTGGTTAAGTGCTTGATCTTCTACATTATGTTGACTTTCAGCAACCTTATCAGTGGCTACAATTATATCACCGGCCTGGCTATTAGATTGTTCTTGCTTCTCATTCGATTTTTGGCTGGATTCAAGGTGATGAATGGATGCATATAGTACCAGTACATTCAGGATTAACATGCATCTGCAGCAGAGTATAGTAAAGTACAGTAAGTTAGCTATAATTATATTAATTTACCATAATTAACATGTTGGAGGGTGGAAGGGAGGTGTATAGGATTACTTATGTAATTTTATATTATAATGAATGTAACTCTCAATTTAATTATAATACATCTGGAGGTAGTGCCCATTCCTGGGTACCATGCCATTATGCCAATTTCATTTAGAAGCATTGTGTGAAGCCTAGGCACCAGAAAAAGTGCCAGCACAATTGCTGGGCACTCAATCAGAACACAGCCTTTATTCCTCAAACTTCATCTGAATGCCTAATCTTATATTGTGATCTATGATCAAGTAAATTGTAAATTATTTGTGATGCTACTAATTGTAACCTAGTAGTGTAATGTAGTAGGTAGAAAGTAAGGTGGGGGAAGATGATGGGGAAAAGGGGAAGGGATGTGTGGGGGATGAGAGTTATAATATAACTCTCAATTTAATTATAATTTTATAATTAAATTGAGAGTTACATTCATTATAATATAGAATTATATAAGTAATCCTATACACCTCCCTTCCACCCTCCAACATGTTAATTATGGTAAATTAATATAATAATTATAGCTAACTTACTGTACTTTACTATACTCTGCTGCAGATGCATGTTAATCCTGAATGTACTGGTACTACATCGATCATTCATCACCTTGAATCCAGCCAAAAATCGAATGAGAAGTGTTACATGATACATAATATCATGTAATTAGATCGTATAATAATATAGCGTCATATACTTAGCTAGTATAAATATATATATACCTTTTAGTTAATTAACCTTATTCTCGTAAGACTTACATGCATGAGTATGCAAAATAGGTAAAAGCATGAGCAAGCAATAGCTATGTCCACGCCTAACCGCAAGTGCGTAGCTTGGTGTCAACCACAAAGCCATGGTAGCATGCGCTACAACGCTCTGAATTGCGTACGGGAAATTACTTGTTGTTTTGCAGTTTCTCTTAGCAAGCGTATATAAGTCCGAGCGCAAATAGATATAAGAAAGCGATTACAGCCATTACAAGATGCCATAACTGACGATGCTAATTTAAGCTGACGGCTGACCAAATGAACAATATAACATAGATGGATGTATGATGGATTTTCAACTATGGAGCTATTCACTGTTACTCTTACCAGATAAGTTAATGTTAAGAAATAGGGTATTGCATGTTAATGTGCTTTGTAAAGTTTAAATTGTTTATTGATCACTATAATTCACTAAATGTTTTAAAATGCTCAACACTGTTCTCATTTTTTGTTCGTTCTCACCGGCGAACGTAACAAGAAGCAAGAACAATCTAATAGCCAGGCCGGTGATATAATTGTAGCCACTGATAAGGTTGCTGAAAGTCAACATAATGTAGAAGATCAAGCACTTAACCAAGAAGCATCATACAGCCAAACAAGTGACACAACAACAATAACTTTAAAGTTCACCCATGCAGCAATTATACAGGAAAGATATTGGATGTTGCAGACAAAGAGTGCTAAAGAGTTGACAGTGTATTTCTCTCTGCAGATGATTATTTTTCACTGCCCAAGAAAGCATCATTTTGCCCCAATTTCAGTGATGATCTTAGAAAAATCACATTGGTAATTTTTCCCAACCAAAAATGGATCCTAATGCCTTATGCATAAACAATGCCATATGTTCTGACAGAATGTCCACTGAGCGTAAAAAAACATCTTAGCAAGCTCCGAACAATGGTTATTATTTATATCATGGTGTTTTCATTGTCCCAAAGATCCAACTCATTCCAAGTAGCATTATCCAGAACTGAAATGAAAACATGAGACGGAAAGGAGAATCCTGAGAAGAAACCGACATTATTCCCCAAATAATTTATCGGGTTTAACGATATATTGCAGCCATATAGCGCGCCATCATTACAGTAATTCAAACGTCGATATTTCACGTTATGTTTTGAAATTTAAAAAACCCCACGGCAAAATTCAAGATATATTTATGTTTTATTGCATTCTTTCGGTTTCGAATATAAAAAGTAAATATTCTGGCTCACGGATGCGTTAGAATACGGCAATATTTTCTCACTCCTTTTGTTTACAATTTTTATTTTCAAGCATTCTGATTGGCGGAGAGCAAAAATGTCAACAAACGCGCTGATTGGCTTAGAACGAAATCTGCCCTTGTTGACCGCTATAAATAGCGGTCATGAAACAGCCAGGTTTCATGAGTTTGAAAGCTGTTTCCAAAGTGTCCACTTTGAACTTGCGTCAAGTGACAGCCTCATTAATTCTTTTAAGGTTAAAAATCACTCGAGATTTTCCTGGCTCCTTTTGAGGCCGAATAAAAATTGGGAAAA